CCCCCCCCCCCGCGCAAGTACCCGGTCCGACCCACCATCCAGGTCCGCGTGACACTTTTTTCACTCCCGTTGTCATCAATCCGCACTTTAGCGCACCAAGATGGAGTAGCGTGCTCTGACCGTGCCGCGCAGGGAACGCATCGCAGATGAAGTTTCGACAAGCAAAAACAGAGAAAAAAAAACGGCTGCCCCCGCTTTATTCGTTCGAAGCTCCGACGGGGGACAACACACACCCAGGCCTTCGTACTCCCCTCACTACCGCAAGGCCTGACAGCACCCCGCCTTGCGGAAGAATCGTCGGTCGTCGGCCCGGCGCCGAGTCATGCGTCCGGCTTTTGCCCCGGCCCCCGCGATTTCTGTCGCGCAGTCCTGCACGGGGCACAACCCCCTTCATCCTCTGCGATGGCTGTACCTGGCGCAACACGCGTCCAGGTCACTTCCGCGATCCTTACTCTTGCCTTACGCCAGGCGGCCTCCCGTTAGCCTGCTCACCGTCTCGCCCGCTGCCGCACAGCGTCCGCCGGGCCAGCCCCGCCTCCTCGACCAGCCACGTACTGTCTCCCCCGCGGGCCAGACTAACTCTTTCAGGCACCGTTCCATATTTGACAGATTTCCCGAAGGACTTTTAGCTGGGGCAATGCCCCACGGTCCCTTCTTAGCCTGTGCAGTTTCCATGCCTTCTTGCCATGCCGAAAACCTCCGCGCGGATCTGGCCACCTACCGGGGCCAGGTCCCGACGTGCGGTATGTACTTCAGTCTGCAGCGGACGTTCGAGCCCGTCCCCTCTCCTCAAATTATGCATGTCATCCTTGCGCAGGGGCCATGCTAATCTTCTCTATATCGTCCCAATGTTAACGGATGTCCCGAAGGACCCCGCCATCCCTCAAAGTCCCAAAAAATGGGAATGGAGCAAAAAGAAATGAGAGAATTACTAATATTAATATTATTATAAGAAGGAGGGGGACTGCTAGCATCCCGCCAATCCATTGGGTTGGGCCCGCCGTCACTTCAGTTCAGCAAAACTGAGGGAGATAGCCCCGTCGGGCCCTCAATCCCCCAGCTCCGTCCATGCTCCTGCGCTCACGTGTCGCCGCCTGCTGGCCTCGATTCCAGAGCCCCCGTAGTATCCGTCCAAAGTCGTAACCTATAGGGCTAAGCCCAAGTCTGATACCAGAAGGCCTAAGCTACCTAATAAAGAGGTAGCCCCCTGTTTTTGGGGCCAAAGGAGCCACCCCATACCATTTCCTAACCCGCACTCACACATATGACCACAAAAAGTCGCGCCGACCACCCGACCGTGCCGCGGCTGCCCCTTACCCGACCGAACCCATCAGGTCCCATCATTTGGATTCCATGGGCATCCACACCGGCCTGACCGAACCATCTACCGCATCCCGCGGGGCCAGGGAAAAACGCACTCATAGGTTAATTAGTTTAATCAAACAGAAATAACATATGTCGTCCGAAATCCATGCCACATTTGCTAGTGTAGCCAAACTAAGGGAAAATCACGCGCGCCTCAAACTTGCGCGCCCACGCACTCTTTACTCTAGTCAACCACCTAGTCAACATAAGTTACAGACGCGGCAGCGCCTAGCGCGACATACTTAAACTTTAAATCAAACTGTTTTTTTGTCGCTTGCAAAAACCAGGGCGGATACCCTTGTAAGGGTATTCGCACCGATAACGCGCGCCTTAAACCTGCGCACCCACAGACTCTTTACTCTAGTCAACCCTCCAGTCAACGTAATCCCAAACACAGTCGCGCCTAGCGTGGTATACTTAACTTCAAACCACCCTATTTCCTGTTGCTTGCAAAAACCAGGGCGGATACCCTTGTAAGGGTATTCGCGCCGATAATGCGTAATGGGTATGTCTTAATACCAAGACGATTAGAATTTAGTGACTAAGTCATGAGTAAGGTGGTTTAATATAGCATTAATATTTCCAAGCATATTTGCTTGATGAAATTAACATAAGATGCATCTTACTAGTGCATCTTAGCTATGCACTTTTGATGGTTTTGTAATATCATGCTTTTAATTTGTTATAAGCCTTACTATGGTTCGACATAGCGATATTGTGAAATGTTGTGATGTTATCTTCGACGAATAACACAAAGGTGTAATGAAAATATTGGTTAGCTTTAATCAAGTGACACATGGTAGACTTGTTTTTTATTTAACATCACTTCACAACTCTTATAACCAGAAGGTGATTAAAAAACCACCTGGATTGAAAAAAATGTAGTCGAGATAACTATAGTTCGTCAGTATGAAACTTTACTTGTTAGGAAATAGATATAGTGTCACATGAAAGCGATAATAAAATACATGTTTCGTATACACATTTGATCCTTCAACCAACATAATGAGAGAAAAATAAAACATAAAAAATTGATCGAACGACATTTGTATAATATAAACAAACCCACTAAATAAAAGAATTACATAAACTTCAGTGAAAAACTCGATAAGCGTAAAAAAAAAAAAAAAAAGTAAAGAAAAAAAATTATGGTTCAAGGTAGAATGGTTTCAAAAAGTTATGGATACGAGATAAGTATAATAATCCTATAAACTACGGTATAAGTATAGTCTCCCCAAATGTTAAATGAGTTGAGTAGACTTTTATTTCATGATCGCTTTCATGTAATACTGAGATACAGGATTTGACAGTCGTACCATAATCTGTTGGATTATTATACTTATCTAGTATCCCGCTCAGACTCTTTGATATCGTCACGATTATTTGTGTTCAAACCATTGATTCATTTTATATATATATATATTTTACTAAACTTTTTTTTTAATAAACTTATTTTTTTAATTATTAAGTTGGTATATTTGTGCTAAATGTATAAGATTAGTTCCCCCCCCCCAAAAAAAAAAAAACATACACTTAACCCCTTTTATTATGGGGGGCGTCAATCCGGTTGCTTATCACCGACAAGCAAGGAAACATGAACATTATGGAAAAAAAACATTTGTTAATGAGTGAGAGATGAGAGCATCAAGCAATCGGGTGACTTCCCTTGGTACCTTGTATTTGCCTGCTATGAACCACTCCCATCCCCGCCTAATTACTTTCTTGTCACCCATATTCACAATCCCCCTTACAAAAAAACATCACCCTATGGACTTCCCCACCTTATGTCTTTAGTGCGTCTTACTTTCACTTGCATTCGTCAATTAAAATATATGCGATTCACCTATTCCTTATAATTTCATCATTCATATTCTGTCGTTTTTCTTACCACAACCGCCATTACGTAAGTATTCATTCCGTCAGCCGTATGCATTACCTCATGCACATTCGCACCTTCCCCTATGTATCATCCGCGTATCTCTTAATACTCTTCCAATTTCCCTTGACTTATTGTAATTCTCATGATTTGATGTATCATCGTACAATAACATAAGTTGAAAGACGAGCATGAGGATCAATCCTCAAGACTGATATAATCCTTTTCTCCCTTCTGTATCCCCCCCGCACCTCTCTCGTAACCATTTCATAATGCACACCCTCCCCTATACAAACAGCATCCCCGTTATACATATTGCGTCC